CCGAGCTCTTCCTGTGTGACTGAGCTCCTCACCCTATCTCTTAGGGAGCGCTCCCTCTTTACTACGACGGTCCGATACAGCAATCGCATCACTGCGCACGCTGCACCAATCCACCTGTCAATCTCACGCTCCATCCTTCCCTCACTCAAGAACAAGACCTCGAGATACTTAAACTCCTCAACTTGAGTGAGGAAGGACCTCTCCACCCACCTGAAGAGGGCAAGAGAGGTGGGGCTAAAGGTCAGCTTGAGCCAGGCTAAATGACTGCAGCAGTGATTGATTGGGAACAAGGAAGTCTGAAAGCCAGGTGTTCAAATTAAGATACAGTCGGGATGGAGATGGGGCGGAGGGAGATGTTGCTATTGTGGATAACTGCGATGCCACCTCCTCGCCGGTCTCGCACACTCGGTGGATGTAGGGGTGACAGCGGAGAACATGGAATTCACACACATGGTCTAACCACTTGAGAGCAGTTACAGGTCCCATATTACGGTTTTTGACTTTTCTCCACGAGACAAAGATTAAGTTGTGCTTTAGGTTATCTCACATAGAAAAATGTACATGTCACATTTGGCATGGATAAACACTCAGATTGTGCAAAAGGAGGGAAATGGGCTAACATTAAAATGCAGGATATATGTACAACAAAAGTGACAATAATTATGTGCAACAAAAGTGACAATGGGCATTGAAACCGGGGCAATAGTAGTGCAGGTTTCACACATGATCATTGAAAGTGACATATGCCGTTTTTCCACAGTGTCAGTTCAGTTCATTTTCGTACCGGTAACGGCGCACCTATTTTGCTTTCCTTATGGATGGAATGGGAGATTTGAGGACTTTCCGTACTGCCTCAGCCGGGTTCCATTTGTCCCGTTTTGAAAGCGTCCGTTTTGAAAGCCCGTTTTGAAAAGCTAGTCTGCCGGTAATAACGGGGTTAGCTATGAAACCCGTTTTGAAAGCTCTTTGTCCCGTTTTGAAAGCTGGTCCTCTTCATGATTCCCGTACTATCTTGTGTCCTTGGGGTTTTTCCTGAGTGCACAGAGGTCTTTTTTGGCTATGATGTCCAAATGGTCAAATATTGTCACATCTGAATAGTGTAGATATAAAATATACAACAGTGTATATTTGTATGAGAATCTCTTCCCATAAGTGTGGAGATTGCCAACGAGTAATGAGTGACCAGAGTATTCTCATCTGGACCTGGTCTGGACCTGGTCTCTGACATACGACTTTGTAAACTGTTGGTTTTGCACTTTACTTTTGTTTTCAATAAATCTGTGATTGTATCCCAAGACTGTGTTTCATTCATTTATTATTATTGTAGCTGAGGTTTGGGTATCGATTGGTTGTCTGGTCTCGGAGTCTGCTGTAGTCCGGACCCGAGTCCGGACTAGCCTAGCTTAGCCTAGCGTAGCCGCTAACTCGCTACCCCTGTGGCTGCAGCTGTCTCTCCCTCTGTCCTTTACTGCTCGAGTTGCCATATGACGAGTTTAAACCCTGGATCCTCCTCTGATGGCAGTGATAGATGTGTTAAGTGTAGTATTGTAGTGTTAAGTGTAGTATTGTAGTAGCTTTGGAATCCAGGGTTAGTGAGTGAGCAGAGTCTCGAGGGAGCGCTAGCATTAGCTTTAGCCTAGCAGTATCCTCGGACATGCAGCCCTCCTCCACTGCTACACAGGCTGCTGTTGCTACAGGTATGTCCCATTCAGATTGTACAGAACAGTCAGCACCATTGACTTCACAGTGTCTGAGTCATTCTTTTAAGACATAAGCATTTTCAAAAACTACTCGTGCTGTGCTGAATTTTCTATTAAACACTTGCTCTGGTATTATAATAAATCCATGCACCGCACCAGTACTAGTGACGCGCCACACGTAAATGACGTGGTCTGACAACGCTGAGGACATACTGGGGGTATTATTTTTGATGGAAAAGCACGCGAACTGGGCCATGGCGCACCGTGTAGAGTCAAAACGTACCGTACTCGGACCGTGGAAAAACGGCATTTGTCTTTTACATTGCACGTAGAGAAAGGCAATTGAAGAGTCTCAGCCAGTTTTTTCAGGCAAGAATGGTAGGCAAGAGAAGCTGGTTGGCCAATGGTATCCATTCCAGCATGGGATGAAGACTCATCATCTGCCCTACCCTCCTCTTTGTTTTCATCCATTACACTGATGTCATGGACTGTTTCCTCAGCAGTAATGTCGTCATATTGGTGGATATTAATGTTAGTGGTTAGAGCACCGCCGCTACTACATATTATTTTGACACAAAAGAATGAACAATGTATTATTACCAAGTATGTTGACTTGTCAACAAGTTGTATTAAAAACTGTAATTTAATTGAAAACTGGAGCTCATTGATTCAGCATAAGCATGAGTTTAGGCCATTCAAAGTGCTGAGATGACTTCGAGCGCACCGCTGGCTCTCCACCACTGACACAAAAACGGGCAGTACTGTGACGAACAGCACCGCCTCCTCACGTGCGTGCACACCGCAGGTAAACACTACAGAATGGCTGCCGAAGGAGGATCAACAAAGAGAGTGGCTATACCTGCAAAAATGCAAATAACTCACAAAGGCTAATAGCTTAACTGTAGATAAAACTCTGCATCCTCCGGTGAGCTCTGGTCCCTGCACACATTTCCCTTTGTTTTTATTTTTATACCATGCTTTTACTAACTATTCTGGCCGTAACTGCTATTTTATCGAGGTAGCAAGCCTGTATTTTGTACAATTTAGAGAGAATTTGGCAGACCTCAAAAACAGACCAAATTTAGCTAGTATCCAATTATGAAAACTTTGAATAAACAGGTGTCCGCTTACCTTGTTTGTTTGTCGACAAGAATGTCCGAGAAGTCAGCCGTCTTTTCCGCGTGGAAAAATTCAATTTCAAATGAAAGTGACGGAGCTAGAAGCATCCAGGATGCAGCTCTTCCAGCCTGCTGGAATTTCCCCGCTCCCAGATAACATGTTGCTCCCTCAGGCCGAAAAAAGAAACAAAAGAAACACCTTGAAAACAACCAGAGCAATGGTGCCCAAAGCCGCGCATCTCTCCACCAAATCTGTGGAAGATGAAGCACAGAGAGACGGGGTTGAGGCGCACCAGAGCTCCTGGAAGTTAATTCAGTTTTTTTCAGACAGAACAAAGTCAGGACATGGTTTTTATAGTCATTGTTACGTCACAGATACGTCACACACAGAAAGACATACGTGTCGCATCTAGAGACAATCAGAGTCATAACATGGATACAAAATCAGAGTCCTTGTGACTGAGGGCCAGATATTTTGTCTTGCATTTGTCCACCTGCGAAGGCCATAGTTATCTATCCACCATAAGCCGACAAATCGTTGCTATCAAATATGGACCAGACTCTGAGGATTGTGTACAGTACCTTGTTGAATCTATGCCACAAAGAATTAAGACAGTTTAAGGCAAAAGGGGGTCCAACCCGGGTGTATCTAATAAAGTGGCCGGTGAGTGTAGTTTGTACATGTTAGAATACCATAGTTGGGTATGCTAACCACGAGGGAGCAAAGAAATGTTGTCAACCAAGTCCGACACATGGCTCACATCAACCCGTGCCGTGGCAAAATAAAAGCTCAAGGAAGAGCTTGTCTTGCCTGATATCATGAAAGCTGTTAACTGAATAACGTGAAAGCAGGGCTGAGTATCGTACATATAATATTTCAATCAAGGTTGAAAATAATGTGTGCTTGGGTTTATAAATTATGAAATGGGTGAATGAGTGTGAATGTGGGACAACGGATGCAAATCAGCCCATGGCTACAATCCAGAGTGATATGTTCATTAACATGTACTGTTCCAACCAAATAAACTAAATCAAATAAAAATAAGATATTGGATATAACGTGTAAGGAAATTATATATACAAAGGCAATTAATTCAATGTTCCATTAACAGATTGGATGGACACGGTGCAAATAACTTTGTCTATTGTGAAAATTCCAAGTTCATACAAGATATATTCTTCTCTTTTCTACATAGAGATGCTAAGGCAGTAGTATCAGACGCATCATAAAACAAGAGCATATAGCAGCTCTACGCTAAAGGCCAGAGATATTTTGAAAACTATATATTGGCAATAGATAGATACTTTATTGAGGAGAAATTCAGGTGTCCAGCAGCAGAAAACACATCCTAATAAACACACAAGTACACCAATTATAAATATTTTCAACCAAGTACAGTGCATATTTTATAGATCTGTTGTACAATCTGACAGCTGAAAGTACAAAGGATATCTTATAACATTCCCTTAAGCAGCGCAGTGATATAAGCCAACATGCCCTAACCTTAATACACTACAGCTAACCACAAACCTAATCAACTAACCCTAACCTCAACCCTAACGCTTGTGATTGTGGATTGTGAGGATTTTAAAAACATTTATTATAAACTCTTTGCATATACATTTGATGTAACAAAAATATTTTCAAAGCATCAAACAAAGACATTCCCTTTTAAAACACGTGTTTTTAACAAAAATACATGTTCAAAACATACAGTAAGATCCTTATTCACCACAGAATGAAATTAAATACATACAAAAATATATGATAAGAAACCAACTTTGGACACTGTACAGTAGCTGATCCTTTTCAAAACCCAATTTGGAAAGTTACTCAATACAGAAGCGGTTAAAGTAAGAGGTTTTCCCAACCGGGAAAACCTCAGTGTTTCCCAACCGGGGTGTGCGGACCCCTAAGGGATTTTTTATTTAAAAAAAAAACTTTAGTCAAATATAGAAGACAGAATTACCACCACTCATTACAGACTAAACATTCAGCTGTCAGGGTTAATCCTACTCTTTGACGGGGTTAGGGTTTACTGTAGGGTTAACCCATCCGTCTTCAGCTGTTGTTGCAAGCAGCACATTTCCATATACCAGAAACTGAACTGCATGAAAAATTATCTATAGACTTCAATAAGCCCAAACCACAAGTCCCTGTGTCGTGTTGCCAGTCCTTGTGTCACCAGTCCAGGTGGAGGTGTGGGTGTTGATGGAGTTGACACAGCAGCTCCTCCTCTGTGGGCTCCTGGATCTGCTCTCTGCACATTCAAAAATTAGTACATGTAATTATTAAGTAAAATAGTTTAAATATTACATATCCAATTGAAGCTCCTTCCAAAAACAATACAGAGCTGAAACTAAATCATCATGAACGCAAAACATCCTTTTTTCTTCCCACAAATATGGGTCGGATGCATGTTGTTGTGTTCCAAAGTGTGCAATCATGACCAAAGTGCAGTGAATCCGGAAAGTATTCACAGCGCTTCACTTTTTCCACATTTTGTTATGTTACAGCCTTATTCCAAAATTGATTAAATTCATTTTTTTCTCAAGCTCCATCAAGTTGGATGGGGAGTGTCGGTGCACAGCCATTTTCAGATCTCAGAGATGTTCAATTGGATTCAAGTCTGGGCTCTGGCTGGGCCACTCAAGGACATTCACAGAGTTGTCCTGAAGCCGCTTCTTTGTTAACTTGGCTGTGTGCCAAGGGTCGTTCAATTTTTGTCTCGTCAGACCAGAGAATTTTTGTACTCATGGTCTGAGAGTCCTTCAGGTGCCTTTTGGCAAACTCCAGGCGGGCTGCCATGTGCCTTTTACTAAGGAGCGGCCTGATTTGTGGATTGCTGCAGAGATGGTCTGACAAAGTGACCATTGGGTTCTTAGTCACCTCCCTGACTAAGGCCCTTCTCCCCTGATTGCTCAGTTTAGATGGCTGGCCAGCTCTAGGAAGAGTCCTGGTGGTTCCAAACTTCTTCCATTTACGGATGATGGAGCCCACTTTGCTCATTGGGAGCTTCAAAGCAGCAGAATTTCCCAGACTTGTGCCTCCAGACAATCCTGTTTTGGAGGTCTACAGACAATTCCTTTGACTTCATACTTGGTTTGTGCTCTGACATGCACTGTCAACTGTGGGACCTGTGCCTTTCCAAATCAAGTCAAATCAACTGACTTTTCCACAGGTGGACTCCAATTAAACAGTAGAAGCATCTCAAGGATAATCCGTGGAAACAGAATGCACCTTTATTCAATTTTGAGCTTCATGGCAAAGGCTGTGAATACTTAATAAAAAATAAAAATCTCCCACATTTTTTTTCACGTCGTCATTATGGGGTTTTATGTGTAGAATTTTAAGGGGGAAAAAAATTAATTGAATCCATTTTGGAATAAGGCTGTAACATAACAAAATGTGAAAAAATTGAAGCGCTGTGAATACTTTCCGGATGCACTGTAAGTTCCTAATAAACACTGTGATTGTTTTAAACCTGTGTATTTTGAGTTAATTACAGAAGTATTCTATATACATTGCCTCGTTGCCTGAGAAGCTGCATAGAGCTAAGCTAACTGTAGTGTGCAGTTTGGGGGCAATGTGGGATATATACTGTATGTGCCTGTGTTTCGATAAAGTGCCTATTATTTTCATATCTTTAAGTTTATGTAATGCGTTTATATTGTATATATATTTATGTTATGTTTATATTGACATGAGCACTTTGTAATTTATTTAGTCTTTATTTCTGTTTATCTTGCAGATGACACACAGACACCCATCCCTGTACTCAGACCCTCTGAATGTTCCATAAAAAAACAATCATCAACCCATCTTGTCATTGTCTCCCTTCTGAATATCATTGTGGCTCAAGTAGTGTTCTGGCTGACACAAGAGGACAGTAACAGCTTAAACAACAAACCAGCACCTTTTATATTGTCCTTACAGTCCACCTCAGTCCACCTCAGTCTACCTGCAGTGTACCTACTCACCTATAGTGAGAGTGAGTGTGTTTATGTGTGTGCATGCGCGTGTCTAAGTATCACCCACTTGAACATGAGTTGAACAGACGTCTCGTACCGGATCCGCTCCACATCTGTGACAGAACAGCTGTGGCTGCGGTCCCATTTATAAATAAAGTTCTGCAAAAGACAAAAATAAGAAATAATGAATAGTTAATACTTACTGTATGTGTACGTTATTCCCTGAAAACAATCAGAGTAAAGTCAAACCTCCAGGATCAGCGCCACAAACAGGTTGACCCACATGACTGAGGACGTGAGCCACCAACTCACAAAGTAGATCTTCGACCATCTGCACACAACGACAAATACTGATGTAACAAATACCAACATTTTTGAACTAAGGGGTTTAAGGACATGTTTGCAATCACAAATATAAGGAGTAATAATGATAGTTATCTCCCTATCTCACTGTAAAACCACCAATCACAAGTCTCCTTTTTATGCCGCACATGCTCAGGTTTTGTATGTTAATGTAACCACTCACTCTGTGGTGTATCGGCTGTACGCCTCCATGAACGCCTGCCAGTTGTTCACTATCATGACGTCGTAAAGTAAAATAACTGCAGCCTGTGGAGAAAAAACATGAGTCTGAAAAAAACAAAGGGCTTTCACACCAGATGAATTATGGATTTTAAGACAAAAAACCTTGTATAAATTCTAAGGCAAATACGTTTTTTTGGTGTACAAGCTGGCAATAGCAAATCAAATATATGAACAAGATCCAACTCAGGTCTGAAGAACACAAAATTGGGTTAGGGTTTTGACCTCACCCTAACGGGGCGTTCAGACCGCCGACGCTGGAACGCAGTTTCCACGCGCACTAGATGCACATTCTCTAAATTTCAGACGCTAAGGGTATTCAGACCAGAAGTCCTGCCCTGCAGTGGCGCCCTGCGGAAGTGCTTGGTTGCTAACGGAGTTAGAACGGAGTTCTTCTCCAAGAATGCAGCTCTGTAGCGTCTCTGTGTCCAGAGACCTTCCAGAGACTTTATATAACAGCAGTATGTGTTCACGGAGGTGCGCCATAAGTTTATTTTATTATTAAACGGTACTTCCCATCGGCAAATACGCTAGCTGCACTTGTTTACAGTCACTGGAGAATGAGAACGTTATGTTCACAAGCACTGTGTCCCCCATTGTCAATCCTGGTTTAGTCCTGTTTTGGCTGTTAACGAGAATTTTCAGTCTGCTCGCTAGACCGCTTATGCAGTTCCACGCTCGAACGGACGTCACCGCACTAGGCCATTCCAAACTCCAGACTAACGAATGTTTACAAACAAGAGACCAACCAACATATCGGATTGTTTAAGTGTCCCATACAACCAGTAGGCGGTAAGCGATATTATAATTATCGATATTTATAATATATTGAGATATTCTTTAAGCTCAATATTAATTTTGACATGTTGTATTATACACAGGCCCCTGCCTGCTTGCTATAAAATTGCAATAAAAAATTGGAAATTGGCAAATTTGTTTTTGGAGTAATTTTGGGGGGTCATTCTTCCAGTAAAAATATTGAGATATGTATCGTATATCCATATATTTTCTACCCCTTAATCCATTTCTGGGTTGGGGGGTTGGGGGGGGGGGGCAGAGATGCCACTCAGTACACAGAGCACCAACCCCTCACTGATATATTGTATATCAAGACATAGAAAAATATATTGAGATATTTTTTTCTCCATATCACTCAGCCCTACTACATGGTAGGTTATACAGCCGTCCCTGGTACTACAGGTAACTAAGTGAAAACCTTGAAGTAGCAGCTACAGTGGGGAGAACAAGTATTTGATACACTGCTGACACTGCTGAAGTCTGTAATTTCTATCATAGGTACTCTTCAACTGTGAGTGATGGAATATAAAACAAAAATCCAGAAAATCACAGTAGATGATTTGTAAATAATTAATTTGTATTTTATTGCATGAAATAAGTATTTGATCATCTACCAACCAGTAAGAAGTTTGGCTCTCACAGACCTGCTACTTCTTCTTTAAGAAGCCCCCTTGTTCTCCACTCATTACCTGTATGAATGGCACCTGTTTGAACTTGTTATCTGTATAAAAGACACCTGTTCACACTCTCAATAAGTCAGACTCCAAAATCCACTATGGCCAAGACCAGAGAGCTGTGTAAGGAGGTCAGAGATAAAATTGTAGACCTGCACAATGCTGGAATGTGCTACAGGACAATAGGCAAGCAGCTTGGTGAGAAGGCAACAACTGTTGGTGCAATTATTAGAAAATTGAAGAAATTTAAGACAACGGTCAATCTCCCTCGGTCTGGGGCGCCATGCAAGATCTCACCTCGTGGGGCATCAATGATCATGAGAAAGGTGAGAAATGAGCCCAGAACTACACGGCAGGACCTGGTCAATGACCTGAAAAGAGCAAGGTGCCCTTGCTCAAGCCAAAGCATGTCCAGGCCCGTCTGAAATTTGCAAATGACCATCTGGATGATCCAGAGGAGGAATGGGAGAAGGTCATGTGGTCTGATGAGACAAAAATAGAACTTTCTGGTTTAAACTCCACTCGTCGTGTTTGGAGGAAGAAGAATGATGAGTACAACCCCAAGAACACCATCCCAACCGTGAAGCATGGGGGTGGAAACATCATTCTTTGGGGATGCTTTTCTGCAAAGGGGACAGGGCGACTGCACCGTGTTGAGGGAAGGATGGATGGGGCCATGTATCGTGAGATCTTGGCCAACAACCTCCTCCCCTCAGTAAGAGCACTGAAGATGGGTCGTGGCTGGGTCTTCCAGCATGACAACGACCCAAAACACACAGCCAGGGCAACCAAGGAGTGGCTCCGTAAGAAACATCTCAAGGTCCTGGAGTGGCCTAGCCAGTCTCCAGACCTGAATCCAATTGAAAATCTTTGGAGGGAGCTTAAAGTCCGTGCGGCCCAGCGACAGCCTCAAAACCTGAAGGCTCTAGAGGAGATCTGTTTGGAGGAGTGGGCCAAAATCCCTACTGCAGTGTGTGCAAACCTGGTCAAGAACTACAGGAAACGTCTGATCTCTGTAATTGCAAACAAAGGTTTCAGCACCAAATATTAAGTTCTGTTTTTCTGATGTATCAAATACTTATTTCATGCAATAAAATGGAAATTAATTATTCAAAAATCATCTATTGTGATTTTCTGGATGTTTGTTTTATATTCCATCACTCACAGTTGAAGAGTACCTATGATAGAAATTACAGACTTCTACATGCTTTGCAAGTGGGAAAATCTGAAAAATCAGCAGTGTATCAAATACTTGTTCTCCCCACTGTATATACTTTAACACAGTAAAACCCCTCAAGAGAGGGAGACCAGAGAGAGAGTTTATTAAAACAAACTACCAAGACTACAATTATAATTTTAGCTTTCCTCTCTAAAATAAAGAACACACACCCCGGCCTCCAGGACACACACACCCTGTCCTCCAGAGAACACACGCTGTCATCCAGAGCACACACCCAGTCATCCAGAGCACAAACCCCGAGTGTGTATGAATACAGAGGTTTTCTACTCACAGCAAAGTCGTCAAAGTTGTTGGGCCAGTATTCCAGCTGTTCGTAGGTCCCACAGACCATGGTGTAGTTCCCTGTGACGTTCGCCATCGACGAGTTTGACGGACCACTGTAGAAATGTAAAATATTATCTAAAAAGATAGAAGAGATGGGAAAAAACTGGGTTACAGACATTCCCGTCTGTATCCACTACAAAAAGGACTGGGAGAGAAGTTTACAAGTGACTTTGCAAAGTTGTGAATTCACCAACAACAGATTAGATAATGAAACAATTTGAGCACAGGAAATGCAATAATAACAATAAAACATTGAATCCATTGGTCCATAGGGAGCTGGATGGCTCTTCAAAGACACACTACCTTAAATAATAGAGGAACAGCACTTGGCTGGTTTAAATCCTATTTATTGGATCGGTATCAGTTTGTGGATTTGAACCAAAACTTGCGCTAACTTCCCCTATTCTAAAAGAAAAATTCGGTACGCCACAAGGATTGATACTCGGACTGATTCTTTTCACACTTTAAATTGCCATCAGGCAATATCCTTAAAAAGCATGATATTAACTTCCACTGCTATGCAGATGACACACAGCTTTGCCTGACTATGAAACCAGACAAATCAGTTAGAAAGGATGCATAAAAGACCTAAAAACATGGATGACCCTTCACTATCTGCTCCTCAACCCAGGAAAAAACAAGTAAGCCTCAAGCGTTTGCGCTACTCCACATTCACTTCATCACACTCGATAATGTTAGCATAGCGCCTAGCAACCCTGTGAGAAATCTTAAAGGCGTAATTCACAAAGAACTCTCCTTCAAGCGACATACCTAAAATCCGGAAAAGATCTTCCTAAAAGTGAAGCAGAAGCACTAAAGAGATCCATGGTTTGGGATCATTTTTGTTTTGTCTCAAAGGATTTTTTTTGGTGCCAAACAAGAAGCCGACTAAAACTTTAATAAAAACCTGTCATCTGCATAAAGTGCAGTTCCATTACATCTGTAACAATTTACAGAAACAAACTTATTTCTTAAATACAGTGACTTGCGAAAGTATTCCTTTCAGTATAACCTTTCAACATTTCGCCACATTTCAGGGTTCAAACAAAGATATAAAAAATATTTTTTTTCTCAAGAATTAACAACAAGTGGGACACAATCGTGAAGTGGAACGAAATTTATTGGATAATTTTAACTTTTTTTACAAATAAAAAACTGAAAAGTGGGGCGTGCAATATTATTCGGCCCCCGTGCGCTAATACTTTGTAGCGCCACCTTTTGCTGCAATTACAGCTGCAAGTCGCTTGGGGTGTGTCTCTATCAGTTTTGCACATCGAGAGACTGGAATTCTTGCCCATTCTTCCTTGCAAAACAGCCTGAGCTCAGTGAGGTTGGATGGAGAGCGTTTGTGAACAGCAGTCTTCAGCTCTTTCCACAGATTCTCGATTGGATTCAGGTCTGGACTTTGACTTGGCCATTCTAACACCTGGATACGTCCATTTGTGAACCATTCCATTGTAGATTTGGCTTTATGTTTTGGATCATTGTCCTGTTGGAAGATAAATCTCCGTCCCAGTCTCAGGTCTTTTGCAGACTCCAACAGGTTTTCTTCCAGAATGGTCCTGTATTTGGCTCGATCCTTCTTCCCATCAATTTTAGCCATCTTCCCTGTCCCTGCTGAAGAAAAGCAGGCCCAAACCATGATGCTGCCACCACCATGTTTGACAGTGGGGATGGTGTGTTCAGGGTGATGAGCTGTGTTGCTTTTACGCCAAACATATCGTTTTGCATTATGGCCAAAAAGTTCGATTTTGGTTTCATCTGACCAGAGCACCTTCTTCAACATGTTTGGTGTGTCTCCCAGGTGGCTTGTGGCAAACTTTAAACGAGACTTTTTATGGATATCTTTGAGAAATGGCTTTCTTCTTGCCACTCTTCCATAAAGGCCAGATTTGTGCAGTGCACGACTGATTGTTGTCCTATGGACAGACTCTCCCACCTCAGCTGTAGTTATCTGCAGTTCATCCAGAGTAATCATGGGCCTCTTGGCTGCATCTCTGATCAGTCTTCTCCTTGTTTGAGATGAAAGTTTGGAAGGACGGCCGGGTCTTGGTAGATTTGCAGTGGTCTGATACTCCTTCCATTTCAATATAATTGCTTGCACAGTGCTCCTTGAGATGTTTAAAGCTTGGGAAATCTTTTTGTATCCAAATCCGGCTTTAAACTTCTCCACAACAGTATCTCGGATCTGCCTGGTGTGTTCCTTTGTCTTCATGGTTCTCTCTGCGCTTTAAACAGAACCCTGAGACTATCAAAGAGCAGGTGCATTTATACGGAGACTTGATTACACACAGGTGCATTCTATTTATCATCATCAGTCATTTAGGACAACATGGGATCATTCAAAGATCCTCACTGAACTTCTGGAGTGAGTTTGCTGCACTGAAAGTAAAGGGGCCGATTAATATTGCACGCCCCACTTTTCAGTTTTTTATTTGTTAAAAAAGTTTAAATTATCCAATACATTTTGTTCCATTTCACGATTGTGTCCCACTTGTTGTTGATTCATGACAAAAAATTAAAATGTTATATCTTTATGTTTGAAGCCTGAAATGTGGCGAAATGTTGAAAGGTTCAAGGGGGCCAAATACTTTTGCACGGCACTGTAATAGACAGCAATAAATCTATGTTCGCAGAAGTAGGATGCTCTCTTGTTATAGTTATATATATAGTGCTTGAAATCAGATACAGTACAGACCAAAAGTTTGGACACACTTTCTCATTCAATGAGGTTCCTTTCTTTTCATGACTATTGACTGTCGATTCACACCCAGGCTGTGTAAGGGCTATTTGACCAAGAAGGAGAGTGATGGGGTGCTGGGCCAGATGACCTGGCCTCCACAGTTACCGGACCTGAACCCAACCAGATGGTTTTGGGGTGAGCTGGACCACAGTGTGAAGGCAAAAGGGCCAAAAAGGGCTAAGCATCTCTAGGAACTCTTTCAAGACTGTTGACAACCATTTTGAAGCTCATCAAAAGAATGCCAAGAGTGTGCAAAGCTGTAATCAGAGCAAAAGGTGCTACTTTGAGGAACACAGAAGTTCATTCATAGTTTTGAGGCCTTCAGTGTGAATCTACAATTTTTATAGTCATGAAAATAAAAATAAAACTCTTGAGATGGGTGGGTGTGTCCAAACTTTTGGTCTGTACTGTATGTGGGAGCACTTTAGGTTAAAAAGATACACTATGTAGTTTTTATTCCCATCTAGCGTTGAGATATATTGCAAGTCTACTTCTACCACCAACACTACGGAAGCCTCCAAGGACCATATGTTGTGTTTGACAGTGGTCCCCAACACCAGGTAATCCACCGGACCACGAAGGAAAGAATTCTTTAGTTTGACAAATGACCGGATCTCTCCATACACTACTGCGCCACAAATGTGCGGACGTTAAAGTCTGTGTTGTGAAGCGGCACACACAGCACAGAGGTGCTTTACTATGGATCTTTTATAATATATAGTTTTACAAACGCGGCGAGAAGAGAAGAGACGCATGGAGGAATGGGAAATATGTGAGAGTATAAAACCACGATGATCAGAGAAGCCGGGAGGACATTCCCTTGGACACAGCCGCAGCAGAACTGTGGCTAAACACTCAGGGGCCGTATTCCTAAAGATTCTTAGTGCTAAGAGTTGCTCCAAGTGGCCAAATTCTGAGAATATTCTTAGAATCTCGACGTACTCTTAGAATTTCCACTAAAAGTGAAGAGTAGATACTAGTTATGAAAAATGCTATTCATAAAGAATCCTAGCTCCTAGGAGAGCTCCAAAGGTGAGCAGAGGACGACTTTAAGCGACTTAAGAGTTCCCTAAGAAGACAAAATGGCGAACGGGAGAGGCCGGAGAGGTATTTTACAAATCATGTTTGTGGTATATTTGAAAGTCAATCACGTGACCAGCTTCTTGTAGGCTGGTCAGCAATCACAGCTGATCCATTTTACCCTTGTTAAACGAAAGTAGGTACAAATGGTAAAAGTTGAAAGAGAAAAAATTACCAGCATGGGAATTAATTTAAGCAAGTAAATATAACTATCACTGTGTTAATACTGTGCAAGTGGGCCTACATTTTCACACATTCAGTATGAATGAATTAATACTTTATTTCGAGCCATGGCCAACAAGAACAAAGGAGAAAAAAACCCACAACACAACAACAGAATAGAAAAAGTACAAATATACAACAGTTAAGACTTCTTCCCACTTATTCCGTGGTATATTTATAGTTATGCAACAGTGACATTCACAATAATATGTAGTTGATTTGTACAGTGTATGTATGATATGTTTATATTAATATTGTTTCCTTAAAGTGATAGTCTGGAACTCTAAATTAATTACAAATTTTAAGAATTGTATTAAATTAACCTACTGGGTTTAAATGTTGATACAAAATAAGCCATTTTATGAATTATAATATTACGGGTAATTCCCGCCTTCCCTTCTATTAGCTATAGCTCAAAATCCATGATGCCGTCCACTTTAACCAATCAAGTGATGCCAAGGGCTGTCAATCATCACGAGAGCTGTGCGCTAACCCAAATTCCAAAGTAACAATAAAAATGAGGTGTACCTGTCTGTATCAGTGGGTGTATGCGAGTGATGGTGGTGTGGTTCGGAGGTGCGATGTGTAATTTTGATGCAGAACAAAACCATAAAACGGAACAGAAAAAAAAGTGGTGTGGCACAGGCCGCAGGGCCTGGGAGAGAGAGGCTGTCAGCTAGGATAAAATGTAAAGTGTCGTTTGACGTGAGAAAAACTTTTACCACTGATTAAGACCTTGTCACGATTAAAAACGAGGAAAATGTAACAAAAGGGGGTGTATTTCAATCGTCCATGTTTCCTTTGTTTGGGAGGCCACTCAGCCCCCTCCCCTCCCTCTTTCTGTCTTCTCTCTCTCCCCTTCCTCTTTCTCTCTCTCTCTTTCTGTCTTTCTCTCTCTCTCGTGAAGAAAGAACTATTATCAAATATATTTTTTGTAGAAAATTACATTTATACACACGATAATGTTACTGACATGGAGTCATAGGATC